CTTTTGGTTGTCACAAGTGGGGAGATGCTGCTAGCAAGCATTAAGTGGAGGCAGAAGATGATGGTGGGGATCCTACAACTGACCATCTCCACAGCAAAAAAGTTACCAAGATGTCCACAATATTCAGGTTGACAAGCCTTAGTTTGATTACATGAAGGTGAGTCAAAAAGTATTGCTACACTAAGAGGGAGGTCAACAAAAATTATGGAGGCCAGGAAAGACACTGGGAGGGTACAAGAGTTAGAGAGGTGAAAGAGGTAAACAGTGCTACAATAGCAGCGATCTTCAAGTGGATGCATGGTAGATGCCCAGGCTGCACAGGTGTGGGAGGGAGCCTGGGAGTATACCCCTACGTGTGTGTGTACATGTTTGACAGAAGATATTTATGTACGTGTGCTGACTTTTGCTACAGAAGACATTTAGGTATATATGTGTTCTGAACCTAGTGGAGCATACAGGTTATAAAGCTACGAAAACGTGTAAGGCATAACCAAACACTTGGAAGGAAGGGGGTTGAAGACAATGGTTTTGAGAGAAATCAAGGTCAACTGGCAAACTATTGTCCACAAAGACAATGTTTTACAAGCTACTTGAGTTAAGTAGCAACTCATTCAGTGAGTGCCCCTGTGAGTTTCCAGGACTGTAACTCCTTATGGGAGTAGAAAGCCTGTCTTTCTCCTACGGAGTGTCTGGTGGTATCACACAGCTGACCTTATGGTTAGCTCCTCAATGCATAACCACTAAAGCATACAAATAAGAGTGCCACAGGAAGAGTAGGCGGTGTGAGAAATAGGGTTTAGAAGGTTGGAGCTTGGAAGCTGGTCTGAACCCTGTCTCTGGGTGACCAAGAAGCCTGAGGGGGTCAGCTCCACCCAGTACCCATGCTGTTTATAGGAGACACGATGGGGAAAATCCTCCAAACAACTTTATTGGCCTTATTCTTACAAGTATAGCTTTCAATTTTCTTAAAGCTTCTTCCCCTGTGATCATCCTGTGTCCTTTGAGAAAATCCATCAAGATCACCCCTTTGGAATGCCTAGACAGTCACCACAACTTTCGGAACTGACCTGCATGCCTTGAATTTAACTGACTCAGCAAATCCCTCAGACACGATTGCTCTGATTGGACCTCTCTCTCGGGATTTTACTGGGAAATCCACAACGGTCCTTGGCTCTGAATAAAATCACTTTCGTTATTTCTGATCTTGCTTAAAAGGTTGCTGGAAAGATCAACCCTTTGAGCTAGTTGATCCTCATGCAAAGCTTTTGGCATCCACTGAGCCGAAACCTTGCCGAGGACAAAACGGTCACTAAAATTAAAAATGCTAACCCATGTGAGAGCCTAAGTTCAGGTGCTAACAGGTCAGTGGTAATTCTATGGCTGTTGCCCACCAGTTTCTGGACTGCAGCCACAATTTCTTCCTTCACTGAGGCTGATAGGCTTTCCTCTCGGCTTAAGCATGAGATTTTCCTGACCTTCTTTAAAATGCATGTTATATACACTGGAAAATCAATTGTGGCAGATGTAGTTAGGCCAAAATGTAATATCTTATCACTTAATCTCCCCTTTTACCCATTTTAAAGTGGTTTCAGTTAAAAAAAATAAAAAGGGAATGGGAAATGCTAATCTCCTCTGAGGATGGGCCAGGGATGTGAACAGCCTTGCTAACATGCAGAATGCATTGGTAAGCTTCCGTAATTCAGGAAGATGCCCACTGGAGTACCGTTAAACATTTACTCTTAGCCCTCACCTTAACACTTTTTAAAAATTTCACAGCAACTTTTTTGTTGTTGTTGAGATACCCTAATGGAACTAAGGCAAGTGCATTGACAAAACTTGTGTGCAGCCATGTACTGATCACAGACACGTTTAAGTGTGTTTTGCCTGGAATAAGCCTATGCATGTCTTCCCTAGCACACTAGTAGCAATTCTTTGCGCTATTAGATTTGCCACTGAAATATTTTTCTAGTAGAAACCCTATCACAGCTTTACTTGAAAAGAAATACAATTCATACTTTTTTGACTGCACATGCAGATTTTAAAGACACTTCTAATCTACTCTCCAAGTTGAAATGAAATACCCATCTCTGGTTTCCCTCACTGGTTCCATACAATGTGGACAGGCTCTTAAAGCCCCTGACAAGGCCCCGACGCCTCTTCTGCAGACATTTCTCGCAAAGGTTCTTCAGAGGAACGAGCTTCAAGTCGCTCCACCAACTGGTTGCTGTACTTCTTAAAAACAAAGTGCCAAATTCTCAACCCACTTCTGGTTCTGTACTCAAACAACCAAAGCCAGAAATCACCATCTCCTTTATCCTACATGTGTTGGCTCACCTTTAGATTAAAATAGTCTTGCACCCATGCTGCAGTTAATATGTCTTCCACATGATGACTTCTTCATGAAAGAAACAGGTAGAGGTCTAATGAACTCTCCCATGGTGTGTGTGACTGTAGTGTTTCGAACAACAGCATCTATCAGCTTCTCAGGTTGTTAAGGCTCTCCATTGATGCTGCCTAAATCCTTAACTATTGTGACCAATCGGGGGAAGTTCACGAGCTAATTAATCTCACTATTTGATATAGTCCAGTGACAACACAATTAAGCTACACCTTTGGGTTACATTTTAGTTGGGAGGGGACCTTGGATTCTGGTGTTACCCAAATCTGATCACTTACACGCTTTTAAAAAAAATCACCAAACAGCATGGTTTTAGATTATTTAAATTCATATTAATCTTTTAAAAATCATTTTATTGGGGGCTCGTAACTCTTCTCACAATCCATACATCCATCGTGTCAAGCACATTTGTAGCCTTCATCATTCTCAAAACATTTGCTTTCTACTTGAGCCCTTAGTATCAGCTAATTTTTCCCCTCCCTCCCCGCCACTCCTCCCTCATGAACCCTTGATAATTTATAAATCATTATTATTTTGTCATATCTTACACTGTCTGACATCTCCCTTCACCCACTTTTCTGTTGTCCGGCCCCCAGGTAGGAAGTTATATGCAGATCCTTGTCATAGGTTCCCTCTATCTCCCCGACCTTTCCTCCACCCTCCAGGTATTGCCACTTTTACCACTGGTCCTGACTGGATCATCTGTCCTGGACTCCCTGTGTTTCCAGTTCCTGTCTGTACCGGTGTACATCCTCTGGTCTAACTGGTTTGTACAGTAAGAATTGGGATCATGATGGTTGGGAGAGGGGGGTAGGAAGCATTTGAGAACTAGAGGAAAGTTGTATGTTTCATCGTTGCTACACTGCACCCTGACTGGCTCATCTCTTCCCCGCAGCCCTTCTGTAAGGGGATGCCCAGTTGCCTACAGATGAGCTTTGGGTCCCCAATCTGCACTCCCCCTTATCCACTATATGATTTTTTTGTTCTTTGATGCCTGCATATTAATCTCTTAATTCAAAGAACATCCAATGAACAGAGACACTACAATGATCAATGAGATCCCTCGAACAAAGGTGAACTGTCCCGGAAGCCTTTAGGGCTTTTTACCTTACTGAGGGTGCCCTTTGTCCTATTAAGCAATCACGGATTTCAACCAGTACAAAAACATACAGCCGTGTTTTACCAAGAAAGCCTGGATCATCAGATTTACTGGTTGGAGAGCAACTGGTGGTCACCCCTACAGCACCCTCATCCCGCCCCCCTCCCCCCAAAAGGCTGTGGCCCCTAGTCACCTATCAGGTCTGTAACTGTGTAAGAATAACCACCCGAACCCAAACCTAACTCCCTGTCATCAAGTAGAAGCCAACTCACAGCGACACTGTAGCACAGGGTAGAACTGCCCTCGTGAGTTTCTGAGACTGTGATGAGCAAGCCAACACACCACCACCATGCCACCAGAAAATAACCATCGCATTAGAAGAATCAACCATTTAAGATCAAAAGGACAGCATATATTTATTTACGGAGAAAGCATCTAGTATAGAGTAATGGAAACGGGAAACAATGGGAGGAGTGGGATACTGGTGGCACACTCAGAGGACTGAAATGAGTTGAAACAAAATGTATATAAATTTGTTGACTGTAAAACGGAAGATCTGCTGTGTAAAGATTCTCTTGTAAACCGCAATAAAAAGTTAAATAAAGAAAATGCCCGGCTCACTTATGGCACACTTTTCCCCCCCTACACTCTTAATTCCCTAGGTAAATGCTCAATGGTTAGCGATTTAATGCTCCACGTCCCACGACAATAAAACTGCGGGCAAAGACACCTGTACTCGGGTTTTTATTCTCTGAAAGACACAGAAAGGCAGCAATAACTGTAAAATCCCTAATATCAACGTGAATTCCCGATGGCAAAAGGCGCGCATGGAAGGACTGGCTAACTCTTTACCCTTGGGTACTGCATCATGAATAGGAAGAAAAAGAAAAAAAGATTCGGCGAAGCTGAAATTAAATTCCAGAACAACTTAAAATTATAACGTCCCCACTAACACCAGTCCACTCCCGCGTCCTTCCCTCCGCACGGGAAAGAAAGCTCCCT